AGCCCCATGTGGACAATTTAGTGGCTGAGAGAGACCCTGTCTCAAAATCATCATCACCATCATCATCATACAGGTGCTGGGGACGTAACTCAGTGTGAAAGCCCTAGACTATGTGCTCAGTACCACAAACAAGGAGAAGAGGAAGAGGAGGAGGAAGAAGGAGAAGAGGAGGAGGAAGAAGAGGAGGTAAAAGGCAGAGTGTAAGTGAGGCCCACAGCGTGCTTCCGAAAGAACTTCTCGGGGTTTGACAGCCAGTCTGCTCCACTCGGCTGTCTTTGGCTCCACTCAGCTTTCTCTTGGTCCCAGGATCCCCTCTCCCAGGCATCGGGTCACACAGGAGAAAGGTCCCCGGCCCTCCCAGCAGCCACCTGTCCACCCACCCCAGCACGGCTTCTGTCTCGCTGCTCCTCGTCCTCCAAGAGTGAATCGTGTTCAGCGTACCCCACCACATCAGAAAGGGCTCCAGGCAACCCGGTTGATTTTTATTTTGAAGGGATTTCTGGTAAAATAAATAGGAAAATGTAAACACTGATGACGAACATATACTTTCCATACGGAGCAGCCTTAGCCAACCATATGTTGTGTCTCACGAACCCAGGGACTTTTTGATTGTTAGCAAGATTCCACATGCACCTGGTTATGGGGCTGAAATATTCCACCGGAAATATAAACAGCGGCAGCAGAGAGTCAAGCTCATTGGAACCATCTTGTTGAGCTGCAACCTTGTTTTCAGGGGGGGACTTGGGACCAGAAATAATCACATGACATATGTCAAAGGCCTCTGGCTAGCTGCTGCCCTAGTGGCAGCCTTGACTTGAAGCTTTGGGGACAAGTGGCTTGGGCACCTAGGGCTAACACCTCTCGACTGAGCTGGGACCTTTGTTTACTACCTGGGTGACAAGTGACCTTCCCTCTCTGGGTCCCTCATGTGGTGATGACATAACCTACTTGGAAGGATTCTTTTGAGGACAGGTGAGGACATGTATGGGAATCCTTCCCAACTCAGCGCAGGATATGGCAGTCACCACAAGGCAAACCACTCAGGAGAGGAATGGAGTCCACAGATGCTGATCAAAATCAAACTTTTTAGGCTAGACATGCTGGCGACACCTGTAATCCCAGCACTCAGGAAGCTGAGGCAGGAGGATCGAAAGTTTGAGGCTAGCCTGGGCTACAAAGTGAGCTGAGAACTGGTCTGCACTACATAGTGAGACCCTGCTTCAAACAAATAAACAACAAACAAACAAAATCTAACTTTCTGGAAATAATACCAGCTCCAGGTGTTCAGAAACCTACAGGTGATTATAGTTTTCCCACATTGTTGTCCCACGTTGTGAATCAAGGGAAGTCAACACAAGACCTGCTTAGGCAAAATGATGTTGACCCAGATGGTAAGACTTTGTTTGCCTCCTGCTGCCACTCAGGGAGCTACTTTTGCTCTGTGTATGCACGTGTGTTGTGTGTGTGATATTTTTATTGTAACTTTGCATTGTGAGAGCCGGGCGTGGTGGCGCACGCCTGTAATCCCAGCACTCAGGAGGCTGAGGCAGGAGGATCGTTGCAAGTTAGAGATCAGCCTGGGCTACAAAGTGAGCTCAAGGCCAGCCTGAACTGCATAACGAGACTCTGTCTCAAAGGCAAACAAACAAACAAACAACCAAAAAACTTTGCATTGTGAAAGTCTTGGGAATGTATAGTAGAAAATTCAAAATTGTATAGAAGTACAAAAGATTCCCCACGACAAGCTGTTTTATGCCAAACCCTTATGATAACATGTACGGGGGGAGACAAGCATCTTTTCGATCTCTATCCACACTTACCCAACTGTTTACAGAAATGGGATCGCTGTTTTTGCTCCATCAAACATCTTGAGCAACCTTCACAGTCAACCATAACTTCGACCTTATTTTTAATAGACTCTTATTTGTTAGAACTGTTTTTGATTTGCAGAAAGTACGCAGAGTTCCCATGTACCCCACACCCAATTTCTACTGCTATTTACAACCCACGTTAGCGTAGTGCATTCGCTGTAGTGAAGGAAGGGATGCCGTGTGTCGCTAACCAGAGTCAGGTCTCCTTCCCACCCCCTAGTGCTTACCTGGGGCCCTGTCTTCCGGGGAGCCATCCGGGTCCCACTTTTTGAGGACCTGGGCAGAGTAGATGGGGCTGAGGCGTGTGCCATAGGACGCTCCTGTGCTGGCATTAGCTCCTGTGTTGCATGTGCTGAAACTGGTTGTAGATGAGGGAGGAAAGCTACACAGGCGACCTTCTTGTCACCTCACACCAGGACTATGTGCTGTTTGCGTGACTCATCACAGTGCATACAGACCTAGCCCTCTCTCACCTGGCTAGGGGTGCCTGATTTTTTCTCTCTCTCTTTTTGCTGCAGTACAGTGGCATGATCAGCTATATCTTCGGCTCTTTTTATTTTTTATTTTAAGACAGGCTGTCTCTCGGTTGCACAGGCTGGCCTCTAATTTGTGATCCTCCTGCCCCTGCCTCCCAGAGCGCTGGGCTCACAGGCTTGTGCTGCCACCCTGCCTAATTTTTAAACAACCACATGGTGTTCCATTGTTGGGAAGTATAATCGCTTTTTAACCAATTACGGTTAATGAAGGTCATTTTTTTCAAGTATCAGAAGCCACATGAAAGCGCACACCAAGTCCCCCACCTTTGCTCAGCGTGTATTTCTGTGTATTTCTGCGCTGTGATTCCTGAAAAGGGATCGCTCAGTTTGCAGTGCAAGCTTATTTTAAATTTGCGCAGGTCCTGCCAAATTCCATCCGAAAAGTCGGCCCAGCCAGCGTCCCTCACACAGGCGCCAGCCCCAGGCCCCTCGTCACTGCCAGCAGCAGTGTCACTGTCCCTCTCATCCTGGCCAGTGTCTCAGAGGGGAGTAAGTGCATCAAACCAGGTGACATTGCTGCTGAGCCTTTTCACTTGTTCTACTGAGGTTGGTGCCCAAAGTTTAATTTCAGAAAAGATTAAGCTGTTGGGGAGAGTCCCAGAAGAAAAGGTGCTTAGTGCTAAAGTACCTGGAAGTTGGAAAAAGGACGCAGGAATCAGAATCAAACTGCATTCTACCCTAAGAGCATCCGAGGGTCAAATCTTTATTCTGAGATTTCTTCGATTCTCATAGGGACATGTGTGTCCCGTGCGGAGCATGCTCGTGCGTCCTTCCTCGAGGGCTCTGGCCCCATCCCGCCTTCACCTTGGGGATTCCTTCTCCCGTAAAGCGTGGTGTCTGGAACCCTGGCCCATTCCTGGTGCAGAGGGACCTGGTTCTCCGCGTGTGCGGCCTCCATTCAGCTCTAAAATCTATACAAATCACAGGGAACCAGTCCTTTCAAAAGGGAAGATTTGACAACTATTTACACGCTGACGGAGAGCCAAGCTCTATCCTCCTTTAAATGTTTACATGGGCTCGACAGCTGCTCTACAGCACCGGGAACCGGGCACCCCGCGGGGCCCAGCTCCAACACCCCTCCTCCCCAGCATCTGACACGTGCCACTGAGGGGTAGGATTCCGATCTCTGCGGCGCCCCCAGCCCAGGCCACTGGCGTCTCTGTCTTGCGCATTGTGGTGCAGACTACCACAGCAGCCGGCCCTCCACGACCTCTCCACCCAACCTGTGACCGCGCTCTGCCCAGCCCTTTCTGAATACTGTGGACTTCGGTGGCTTCCGTTCCTTGTTTGTTTGATTCCTGTTTGCGTCCTGTTCATCTCATCCACTTCTTTGCCCTTCTATATTCCAGCCAGGGAGCACGCTTAGTTCCTGGACGTGCAAAGCCGACGCTTCCGCACCCTGGCACGTGTCCTCTATGTGGCTCTAAGGGGTGCAGCTAGGGAGCACCTCTCCTCCCGGAAACTTTCCTCTGTGCTCCCAGATGCCTCCGACCCCTGGACCCTTCGCCCTTCTGAGCAGTCCGCATCATCCGGTCCGGGAACCAGGCTGATGTTGCCCATTGCCCAGGGACAGTTGCTAGGCAACTTGAGACAGCTGGAAGTTATCAAAGCTCTGAGGTTAGAAGATCCAACTTTGGGGCTAGAATTGGGCATGGCTACTACCAAGGCACTTTTTTTTTTAGTTCTCTGAACTTCAGTTTCCTCATCTTCCAAATGAGAATAAACTTTTCCTCACAGGATTGCAAATATTAAATTGGGGGAGAGTTTCCCACTTTTTAAAAAAAAAATTAAGTGTTGTCTTCAACTGAAAAACTAACAGTCTACTTACATTTCTCCCCCAAACCACAAACCTGGTAGTTACTGAGTCTCTAGGCAGCATATTCAAAGCTGAGAAGATTAAAAATTTTAAAACAAATAAAACAAGTCCTCACTTCCAATGAAGGGAGCCCTGCTACATACAGACTGATCTATACCAGTGATACCGCTTGACTCCAGGAGGCTGGAACACATCCTCAGCAACCCCACTTGGAACAGTTACTTCAAGTAGCCCTTTTCCAGTTTCCAACTTCTGAATACAGATAATATTTTGGTAATTCTATTTCAGAAAACTTTTTGCACGTTGTTTCATTTACAATGCCAATTTTAAAAGCTCACTAAACTTAACCGGACAGTAAACTACGCAGAAATCACTTTACAAAAAGAAGGAAAGCTCAAAATGTCAACTTCCCACAGAGAAGCCACAGTTCCGTTTTACTCAGAGTAAAGAAAAAGAGCAATTTTTGCTCAGACTAGAAGAAATTCAGCCATTGGTTTGGAATCTGTAACTCAAACTACGCATGCAATAAGGACAATGTTATGCTAATACAATGGTTCTGCTGCCGCATTAGTGTATTGTTTGTGTAATAGTAACAATTATAACAACTGGGGATTTAGCTCAGCGGCACAGCGCCTGCCTGGCAAGCGCAAGGTCATGAGTTCGATTCCTGGTACCAGAGAAAAACCAAAAAAACAAAACAAAACATAACCATTATAAACAGAGCAGTGCAAGTAGTATTTGGAACAGTCCTTGTAGTGTTACAGTGTCAGGCACATTTCACTTCTCTTCACACCGCTGGTTCTCCTTGCGTACCTGGGCTTCCTCCTCTTCAGTGAAATCATTTTTGATATTAACGGTATTGCGAATCTTCTCAGGAGTTTTCCCCTTGATCCTGTTGGCAACAGTCTTGCATGTAACATCAAGCAAACCTTTGATGTCTAGGTAGTTTGCTGCCAGAATAAGTTCAGAAAGGGTTCCTGGGTCCACTTGCAGGAATTCTTGGTCCCAAACAGGGATATCATCTGTTTGCTTTTCTTTGCTCTCATCATCCTCAGGAGGAGGAGGGTCACCCTTGAGGTGGGTACACCACTGAATGACCTTCTTGTTTTGTTTTGTTTTCTTCCGGTACCAGGAATCGAACTCATGACCTTGCGCTTGCCAGGCAGGCGCTGTGCCTCTGAGCTAAATCCCCAGCCCCTGAATGACCTTCTTTAATACTGCTGCATTAACATTCGGGAGAGGACCTGGGTCATCACCTCCTCCACCATCCATTCCCAAACCTTCCAACCTGGTCTTGATTGTCACAGGTTGTTTGGCAGTGTCCACAGCACCTTCAAATACCTCTCCATCAGAACTGGGCAACTTCACTGAAGGCATCCATTGCTGCCATCTTCCGGAGCAGTTTTAGAAATTCTCTTCACATCTTTGAAAAGGTATAATCAGAAATACGGGCCTGTTGCTGCCAACCCCCACTTTTTAAATTGACAATTGTATTATAACTGCAGGCTCCAGAGCGATCGCAGAAATATTGCACACGCGTCCCTCGAATGCTTTGCCCACTTGCCCCCAGTGGGCACATTTCACAGAATTTTAGTACCATATTCAACCTGAATACTGACAGAGATACAATTCAGAACCCATTAAGTTGCTATTTTTTCCAGATGTTTATTTTAAAATAGGCAATTTCTTTTACAGCCTTGCTGCATGTTCCAGAAGGAGGACTCATTCCAGAATATCCCCACAGCTCAGGCTGGGCCAAGCACCTATTTATAGTATTTAGCTGCCAGCGCCACCCCCGATTCTGCGCAGCCCATGACCCACGACTCAGGCCAATCAAATCAGAGCGGTTTACTTTGTGGACTCATGATTGGCCAGAGATGTGCTTGTGGCTCAAGCAGAGCCAATCAGAGTCCTTCCCTGGGAAATGTAGGTGGCTGGATGGAAACGGTCAATGTGTGCCTGTCGGGGGCGAGTGGGCTGGGGACTGACCGTGGGGACCGTGGGGACCGTGAGGAGGAAGAGGCAGGCTGCTGTCGTGGGCCTGGCCCGTCGTACGCGGCGGATGTGGGAAATCTGCGCCTGCGTACTGGAGAGTGGTGGTGGGGGTGGTTAGGATTTGTTTTGCTGACCTGGGGGAGCGGAGACGACAAAGATTCCTTCCCGTGAACCATGCAATGGTGCGACCACTTTGCAAACATCAGCTTTACAGCTGAAACCCGCTGTCCCCTTGCTGTGACCCAAGATGGCCCTGGACCCTGTGGTCCTGAGAGCTGGCGGAGGCCGAGGGAGCTGGAGAAGCTGCACAGGGACCCAGCCGGCCGCCTCCACCCGCGACCGCGTCGTGCTCCCGGATGGGGCTGTTGTGCTCTCAGCCGATGACTGTCCCCAGGGCGCCCCCAGTGTCCGGACATGTTTGGTTGTCAGCGGGAAGGCGGTGCCGTGACGTCACCAGGAAGCCCGGTGTGGGGCGTCCTGGTAGCCTTGGGTGAGGCACGGGCCAAGCGTGACCTCGGCACACCGGATACATACGAGCCGTTCCCCCAGCTGTGTGAGGTGGACGCTTCCGGGAGGCCGGCGCTGGGTCGGGTAGAAGCTGGAGATGGTGAAGGCAGCAGGACAGGGGCTGCTCAGGCCGGGGCTCCCTGAGAAGCAAGGCTGAGACCCCCTTGTAAATAACAGCAGCCACCCGCGACACACGAGCCTTGGAAGACTGCCGTTCATCCACAGGTATGGGCAGGCGCCTGCTCTCAGTGAAGCTCTGTTCCACCTAAAGATCTCAGGTTGGGTGTGACGGTGCATGCCTGTGAGCCCAGCACTGGGGAGGCTGAGGCAGGAGGATGGTTGCAAGTCGGAGACCAGCCAAACAGAGTTCAAGGCCAGCCTGAAGGACATAGCGAAATCCTGTCTCAAAAAGACCAAAACATAGAAGAGGATCTTGCCTTGAAAATGATTAGTGAGGTCTCCCGGCCTGAGAGTCTTGACAGTGTTGTGGCAGAGGGAAGCCGGGTGAAATGAACAGCAGGGGAGGCAGGGCGGCCAGCACAGCTCTCTCTTGGGAGGTGACAGGAACAGAGACCTGAAGACAGGATGGCAGTGGGTGTTCAGGGTAGAGTTTTCCAGGCAGAGAAGGGGTGGTGCAAAGGCCCTGGGGCAGGCAGGGCAGTGCAGTCAGTGGGAGTGATGGGGCAGGAAGGGCACGGGTGGGAAAGACAGGAAGGAGGGGAGACCAGGGTCTGGGGCGCTGCTGGGGTTCCCCAGCTTTTCCTCTGTGTGAGATGGGAGCCACAGGAAGTGGGAGACACAGCATTCAGGAGCACTCCTCCAGCTGTGTGCACAACAGCCTGGCTCACAGTCCGGCGAGGGCATAGCCGAGGGACCAGGGGAGGCCACTGAGGACGCCCGGGAGAGGGCAGTGGCTCTGAGCAGCAGAGTAAGGAGCGAGTGAGCAGTGATGGGATTCTGGCCGTGGGCCTCAGGAGACCCGGCAGGATTTGCTGAGGGTGCGCAGACTGAGAGTGAGACTTCTCGTTGTTGCTAAGAAATACAAGGGCAGCATCTGTGCTGTTCACTCATGTACTACCAACACGTAGTGCACGAGCTGAGACATCGTGACCCAGAAAATATCCTATGAATGTCTCTCCTCTTCCCTCCTCCTCCCTCCCTTTTGCTGCATGGACGGTGGATGTGATAGTTGGAGCTGCAATAGTCTTTTAGGGTCATGAGGTACCATAGTTCAGAACTACATACTAGGAGTGGTAAAGCAGAAAGACAGATGGAGCCAGAACCCCTAATTAGCAAGGAGCTTCTGACCTTGCCTTGGACTAGTTATTTTCAGATTTCTTTGACCCAAGGAGAAATACTTATTTCCTTCAAGTTATTTTATCAAGTTTTTGTTCCCAGCAGTTGAGTTCAACTCTCAACGGATGTAATGCTATGTATAGTTTTATTTTATGGTAAACAAAGTTGAAATGGAGTCATGTCAAAATAGAAGTCATTACTTGCCTTTTGGGACCTCATTTCCTCCTCTGTGACAATCAAATCATAGGGAGGCTATCCCACAAGGCAGGAGGAGGTCATCAAGGTTTTGAGGTCATCGAGGTTGTGTCGACAGAGTAGCAGGCCACCAAGAGAACTCGACTGGTATTTCCTTCTCTTTCTTTCCCTGAAATAAAATAAGAGTTTTAGAGCCACGGGCATCTGAAGGCATCATGCATTTACAGACTGGATAATACGAGGTGCTCTGCAGCAATGCTTCCCAGACTTTTTGTCATTATTACCTCCTGTTACAGCTGTGTCCAGATGTCCCCACAAAGTCTCATGCGCTCACAGGTGGGGCTTTTCAGAGCTGCCTGGATCTAGGATGTGTGATGCTGGGATTAAGGGTGTGTGGCCCGAAATTAGTCCACTGATTGGAATCAGCATAGTTCTGGGAGTGGCGGAATAGGTTTACTGAAGACAGAAGCTCCACCCTAGGTGTGGCTGGCCCCACCCAAAAGGCTTGTAGCCCGGGTGGGATACAGAGGGAGAGAGGGAAGGCAGGTGCCTGCTGTGCTGTCTTCTGCCTGCCCTGCTGTGGACTGTCCGTCCTCATCGATGTCCCTCTGCCATGCCACCCTGCCTTGGAGCCAGCCAGCTATGGACTGAAGCCTCTACAAACTGTGAGCTAAATAAACTTTTCCTCTTCTGACTTGTGGGTGCTGGGTATTTTGTCTCAGCAATGAAAATGTAACTAAGACACCCCCTAAGAGCCCCCATTTTTGTTTTTCTTTTCTCTGGTGCTAGAGATCGAACCCAGGACCCCAGGCATGCTAGGTAAGTGCTCTACTGCTAAACTACCTCCCCAGCCACCTTTTTAGTTTTTCATCTTGAGACAAGTCTCAAAGTGCCCAGGCTGGCCTCAAACCTGTGCCACTGAGACTTGAACTTCTGAATTTTTTGCCACAAAGTTTCCTTTCTTTCCCTTCGTTTAATATTATGATTAAAAATGCAAAAGCCGCTCTTCACCCTGAACTGCGCAGAACCAGCAGGCGGCCATAGTTTGCCAACCCAACAGCACGTCATTCCATCCAGGTGGGGCACAGTGTGTGACACATACGTCATTTAAATCTTTCCAGTAGCCACAACAAAATGAATAAGAAACAGGTGAAACTAATTTTATTAATTTATTTTCTTCATCCCAGTATGGACAAAATATTTCTATTTCAAAAAGTAATCATTATTAAAGCCTACAAATGAGTCCCTTTACTTATGATGGGTGAGAATTCCCTATTCTCCCATCGCTGGGACAAAAGATCCAACACCCGGAACTTCAAGCGAGAGGTTTATTTTAGCTCATGGATTCAGTGGGTTCAGTCCATGGTCCATGGGGTCCAAGGCAGGAAAGGTCTGGCAGAGGGAAGCCGCTCACCTCATGGCAGGCCAGAAGTAGAAAGAAGGGAGCAGCAAGGGACAAGAACATACCCGTCCAGGTCACACTCCCTGCGGCGCACCTCCAACCAGGTCCTGCCTTCTAACAACGCCTTCAGCACCCTTGTGGCCCAATCACCTTTCAAAAGTGCCACCTCTGAACGTAAGACTTTGAGGGGACCTTTTAGCTCTGAGCCATGACACTTGGGCTCTGTATTCACACGTGGCTGTTAGGCGCCTGAGATGCTGAGCTTCACTTTGCGCAGGCTGGCAGCTTCCGCTGCGGACCGCAAGCTGGTAACACAGCTGAGCCGGCCCACCTTCCTCTGTGTCTTTTGTCCTCAGGGCTCTTTGAATGAGTGACTCGGGGACCTCTCTGCTCACTCAGCACCGAGCAGCACCCTGGTTGGGTCCAGCAGGACCTGAAGCATCCCGAAAGGCCGGTAACCTCCACGAGTCCGACGGGATTGCCCGTCCACTCATTCATTCATTCACTGACAAGTCCATGCAGGGTGAGAGGCTCGGCAGGGACAAGGCCGCTCCTTAGTGTGCTGGCTGCCAGCAGAGCGCACTTCCGTCTTTAGGCGACCTCGGGCGACACCTGGGACGTTCTTGGCTGTCATAACCGGAAGCAGAGGTCTCAAGGGGGGACGGGGACATCCTGACTGCTGTGTGCTCTCTGTTGTGAATGAAGTGCAGAGACTTGGAAGAAAAAGGACCTTGCTGGAAGCAGCGGGAGCCACTGGTGCTGTGCAGAGAGGTTCGGGGGAGCCGTGTGTGCCAACCCGAGCACCAGCAGAGAGCTTCTGCCTGGGAGGGGGCAGGGGCCAGACAGCAGGGGAGGAACGGGAGAGGGAGGTGGAGGCAGCAATCACGGAGTCGGGTCCTGGAGGCACAGAGTTAAAAGCTTCCCTCTCTGTCCAGGGCAGTCGTGAGCCACAGAAGGGTCTGAAGCAGAGGAGCGATAGGAC